TTTAAAGTTGAAACGTTATTCTGATTTTTAAAAATCCGTGCTTTTTTATATCATTGTAGATTGGATTCCCTTTTTTCCCAAGGTATTCACTTCCGTTTTTAACACCTCTCAATTTTTTAAATCTCTAGAATTTTTACGATCTTTTATTATAATCACTATTTGTAAATAGGCTTTTTATCATGATTGTTGTAATTTTATTATCATCAGTTTTTGTTTTTAGAGGGTTACTAGGGAGGGGGAATACTAGAATTTTTAAGATCTTTTATAATTATGATTACTAGTTGAAAATAGGCTTTTTATCATGATTGTTGTAATTTATTATTATGAATTTTGTTTTCAGAGGGCCAATAGAGGGAATACTTTTCATAGTAATTGGTGTCACCCTCTTAAAATAAAGGTTATCTATATTTGTTGGCGCATGCTTTCGCCATCAGAGCTGAGTCTTTAAAGGCCTAATGATTCCATAATCGAAGCCTAGCTTAAACAGACAAATTAACTCCTACGTTGCGAAATATTTTCCCATCGAGAATTATCTGAGGATATGAAATATGCATTTAGTGGACGGTATTTTCTTACCCTGATGATGCCCTGTAGTGTCGAATACGTTCGGATTTTTCTTTTTTAAATACATATTTTTTAGCCTTGTAAATTGTTCACTTTTTATGGACAAAATAACATTCCAGTAATATTTCTGGGGTTCACGGTTTTGTTAGTTTGAAAATAAAACCTTGATCCACGCCAAGATTTGTATTGTGCGTCACATTAGGGCTCATTTCCAATTTTCTGTCGAGCACGGCCCCTCCCCTTCCCCCCCTCCCCCTACGCTTTGAACTATTGGAGTCCATGGGTGGCAAAGGGAAAGTCATTTTCCGGATTTGTAAGCTTTTCGACTTTATGACAGCTCATTTAGCTTCTTAGTGAGCTATATTTTATTACAAAGGTTAATTCCATTCGGTCTCTGTTTACTCTGGCACGTCCTTACTGTGTTTTTATTAGCAGCTCTCTTACAGATATGTCATTTTACTGCAAGACCCTCTTACATTAAGTTTTTGCTTGCAAAATAAAGGGCTGTCCTGGGATAACTACATTCTAATTGAGGAGAGGAAATAGCTGAATTCTAGCATTCTAGTGATTCATGTCGGCTGATCTAAGGAGTCGAATAAACTCAGCGCTATCGTGAAAATGGCGGGATATGCAGAGACAAGCGCAGAGTCACGTAGCCTCTCTTGTTGGTACTTGAATCACCATGACAACACGGGTTGATCTTTAAGGAAAGACGTCATCTGTTCTGTTGATGGGATTCTGACCATTCATATTGGAGAAATGCTGTGACGTGATATCCTTTAAAAACAAAGCAACACTCCACCTGTGGAAACAAGTTTTACTTTTGCTTTAGTCTGGCTGGGTGCAGCTACGTGCGCTGAACACAGGAGCAAGATTGTCAAGGTATATTTACTTAATCTAAACCAAGGAGGGACTTTGTTTTAGTTAATGGTCTCGTTGTTTACCATCAGGAAGCTATAGCTCGCTGCTCAAGAAAGTTCAGGCAAAGAGCACAAATAATGCACACATCTGAGCTTCTGTGTGGTGCCCGCAGACGTCAATTTCGTCGCACGTTTTCCAACAAATCGTTGGTTTTTCAGACAAAATCGTCGCATATCAAGAATTGCATGCTTTGCGTGGTAACGCTTCTAGCGAGCTCTGCCGGTGCAAACACAATGACGATGGAAACGAGAAAACAAGTGAAAACGTGCAGCACACTTTTTGCAAGTTTCGTTGCCGTCATTGCACAACCGAAGTTGTGAAACTAAATTAAAATGGCATTGTGATCGTCGCTTTAGTCTCTAAGATGGTTGCTTCATCAATGGTGATCGTCGCGACTTCGATTTCGTCGGAAAAACCCTTACAAAGGCTCATACCTATGCTTTTCTAGGGATTTTTACCCTCAGTCTGTGTGGGTAACTGCAATTCAAATACTTGCTGTTGTATGTAGCAAAGATTACTTGCATGTGGTGATAACAATTAAAGTAGCGAATTTTAGTGATTAAAGTTTTACGACGAGTACTTGCACATTATCATGACACATTGAGTGACACCAGGTTAAGTGCACTTTTTGTGCTCCCTAAAAACTGAAATTTGAATTGCGTGTTCGCAAATAATGTAAGTACTTAAGCTGATTTAAAATTCTTTTTAACACTCCCCCGTGCGTCGTATTACGCATGTGCACAGCAGTATCCCTATTGAAGAATTAGTCACCAAGGGTTAAAAGTTAATCTCATTATTTCAACTTTGTTTTGTTCAAGTTAAGTAAATATTTTCGGACCACAAAACTGATGGGTGATTGCGATGAACACTAAGCACGAACGTCTAATGTTTGTTAAGGTTGGGTTTGGGGCGTAGTGCCTAAAAGTACCAGGCTAAAGAGTATCATCCCCTATTCCACAGGCAGCTGAGGAGCTTTTGACAGATCTGGTCACGTCAGCTGGTCGAGCTGATCATCATGCTAAGTTTATTAATGTTACTGCTGGCCATAATGACTGCTGTGATGGCAACTGGCGGCAACAAACAGTCCGCACAAACCACGGTAAGCTCGTATAGAAAACTTTATATAATTTTTTTTCAAGGGCGTAGCATGAGATTTTTTAGGTGTACGCACGAGGGGAAGAAAAGTTGTAGTGCCGAAGGCGGCCCACCTTAGGGAGATCTGTGTGCATGCTACCCCACATTTTTTAAAATTTAGGGTCTCGGAAATGCCACTTCCAGCGTTTTCTGCAGGATATTTTCAGTAAATTTATACTAAAATGCAATCAGTTGTGTGTTTTTCCAATCTCTAGTGTTGTCGGTAAGGTACAGTGTTTACGGGAAAAAATGGCCTGTGACGTCATCAGAATTATGGGATAATAAAAGGATAACGGACATACTAACACAAGGACACCAATCAGTAGTGGCGAAAACTGTATCATTCATTCTGATTTAATAATAAAAAATACTTATTCAGGAAATAAAAATATATTTTTATTATACCAAGTCATTTGACATGAGATAATTTTGCTTAGCGCGACCGAGAGTTCTACGTGGCGGTGCACTCGTTTTCTGAAGAGTCTCGTAATCAGAAACTGACTCGAATTTGGTTGGAGTAAATTTGGCCACTAAAGGTGACGAACGTTATCCTCAAGATCTGCCAATATACATAATATATCTTCAGCAAAGGTGGGGGAAAAATCCGCCACTAAATAGGTCGATACAGTTACAAAAAGTAAATAATTAGAGCAGAGGCAGGCAGCAGGGAAGGTGGTGGAAAATTACGAGAATTCAGTTCGAACCAAGTGATGCATGTGCACTGTGTGATAGTGAGCAGTCTAAAGGGGCGAGCACACGGTAAAACATGGTTAAGAGCTATTGACACCTGGAACGCCCTAGACTCTGATTTGTTAGGAGCCAGATACGCTCCATACCTGCCGCCTGAGCCTGAGGCTCCTTGTCTAAGTAAATGACTTGTCATAAAATCTCATTATGATGACGACTTAATGGTGTCTTTTTTTTCCATATTTTAGCTGTACATGTCCGCACGGGCGTATGTGAGTATATGGACGCGAAGTCGTTACGCCCCTGACATTTGACGATAGGGAGCTTAAGCAACGACGACGGCGACGTCAACGAGAACGGCAAAAAAGCAATAGGTTTAGATTGGCATAACAACAACTTTGCACGTGCGTCACGCTTTTTTGTACATTTCTTTCCGTCACTGCACGACTACGACTTGAAAATGCCTACTGTCACGTTTTGTGGAGGACTTGAAGACAAGACAAGGACTTTCTCTTTCTTTTCCTGACCTTCGGTACAGAGTTTTAGACCTGATTAAACTCCAGAAATCGTTGCCAACATTTGACGAAACAAACGAGATGACATAAGAGCGATAAAGTTTAACTAATCGCGACTTTACTTCATTTTTGCAGCCGTCGCCGTCGTTGTTGCTTAAGCTCCCTAATAAAGCTATGAGAGGGGAAGATGAAACCTATTTAAGAAGCAGGCAGGAAAAGCGAACACATGAAAATGATAAATGCCACTTTTACTGAATCTGAGACCTTAGGAAATTCAAAGTTTCAGTTGAAAGTTCGTTGGACAAACATTTTGTAAGCTATAGCTGTTTCTACTAAAAGTACAGGCCTTTCTGCCTTTCAGCTGTTTGCAAACTAAACTTGAGTACAATCAGGATTAATCACATACTCGGAGACCCAGGGGCAGATAGTGGGGGCGAGGGAAAGTCTAAACGGGCGGAAAAATATGGCACGAAGAAAAGTTCTTTACTTTTCTTCGTGCCATATTTTTCCGCCCGTTTAGACTTTCCCTCGCCCCCACTATCTGCGCCTGGGTCTCCGAGGATGGATTAATCAGTCGAAGGATAACAAATACATGTATTTTTAATAATTTTAAATATTTTCTTGTTTAAAAATAGCAGTCTCCATCGTTTTGTTATGGTGGTTGTGGCATTCCCGGCATGCCCGGCAAGCATGGTACTCCTGGGGCACCAGGCCGCGACGGACGTGATGGCCGTGATGGAGCTAAAGGTGATCAAGGATTGCAGGGGAAGACTGGACCTCAGGGACCTCCTGGTGATAAGGGACCTGCTGGTGTAAAGGGAAAGGAAGGGGCTAAAGGAGAACCTGGAGCCCAGGGTCCTCCCGGTCAAATATGGGAACTTGGCCCGATGCCCTTTAAGAACTGGAAAGAGTGCGTCTGGAAAAACGTGAATGATAATAGGGACAGTGGTCTCATCAAGGTGAGTCGTGCATTTGCAATTGATCGGCATACAATTATCAAATTTACACACAATATAGAGCGTGCAGCAGCCATTTCCCGAAAGGCCTTTTGATTGCCAGTGCAGATACCAACAAACAGCTATTGGCTTCTGGCATACTCTCTTATAAAACGACATCCTCTATATAGCGGCCTAGTTACACACGTAGGCTTGTATAAATTCTGTGGGCAGAATTTCGAGCGCATAAGGCACTCTTTCCAGCATTATCAACGGTTGGCTATTATCAAAACTTTTTAAAAACTGTGAAAATAGTAATTGCAAAATAAGATTAATATAGGATTAAAAAAAATACTATTTCAACTAATCCGAGCAAAATCAGGCGATGAATAGCCTGCGTAGCAGATGTTTGAAAGGGTGGGGGAGCGGAATTCCAGGGCGCGCGATAATCGCGAAAGGTAGTCCCCCGTGCGCGGTCTCGCTCCCAAATTCCCTTCCACTTCACTTACGAACGCCTGTCACCCAGGCTATACAATAAAATGCGATTTCGTTATGCTTCAATGAGAGTTACGTCCTTTTTCCCTGCCATGATTGCAAAATTCAAAATGCCGGAAGGCCTGGAATTCTTTTCCCGGCATCCAGCACAATTTAGCTACTTCGTGTTTCGGTCTACCCGGTCGTCTTTCTCCAGTTTGTGGCGCGCCCTCTTTTTATTTGAGCGTAGGTTTAACTACTCCTCACCGTAAATAAGATGCAGTTACTAAAACTACGGTGACAATCACTTCTCTCGCGCCGTCCCCACCATCTTAACGCCTTCATGGATCAGGCTATATTAAAAATAACTCTAGGACGGTGATATTAACAAGTTCAAGCGACTGGGTGAGGCCAATTTTTATTTTTTGCAAACTTCAGTTTAAAGAAACTGACTACGCTTGTAAAGTTTTCAAGAATGTCACAATTTTTATCAGTGTTTCGGGTAAAACTTTGAGGGTTTGGCATAACAGAAGCATGCTTGTGTGTGTGATTACTGAACAGCTCTGAACAAATGTCTTGACCTTCTTGAATATGATTTCTTGGTTTGGTTCTACAAAAAATAAAGGGTTAACGTGTAACGGTTTCTCTGGCCTGTATCTCATGGTAAGACTCTCAGCCTAGTCTCTGCTACTAACAAGGACGTTTCATCTCTCAGTTGACTCTGAAGACTTATGCGCCGATCAATTCGAAACTTTAACATCCCAAAGCAACCCCCTTGGCATTTGAACTTTTTAAGGTATGCCTGGTCAGATTCTTCTTTTCTCCTCAGCAGAGGCTCCCGCTGGGTATCCCATTGTCCCACGCGCGCTTCCTTTTTCTCTCTCCCCAGCTTCCCTACGATACAAAGAGGCCTTTGCGGAGGAAAGAGAAATTCTCCTTACAAATTACCCCAAGGTAGTGGTCAAATGCCTCTCCCAAAGAGGAAATGTTTTAAAAATATATGGTGTGTGGATTAATGAAAAGTAAATGTTTCGGACGTCTTAAAGTAAGTCGGGCTTATATCTCTCAGTGATAATATACTTTGTATTAAAAAAGGGAGGGAAATTGGGGTCATGGTAACAAAATTAGATACATGTGGCTTTTGAAGTCCCTGTCGAACAAGCCTTTTTTTTCACAAAAGATGTGTCTTTAACTTTAAAGTCTTCCATCTAATCATGAGAAAGATCGCATCTATCGAACTACGTTGTCAGACACCGGATCTTAAAAAGAATTTAACTTGAGGCTTGCGGTTCAAATTCACCCATCCCCGGCCACAAGTGATGGTCAAATGCCCGGGGTTTGCCGGGCAACGTTAAGGTTTCGAGTTGGTCGGCACATCCGATTTCCAGCAACCAATACGCGTGACATCTGGAATGTCAAAGATCTAGCTTAAAACGGTCTCTAACGCTGTATGAAGGGTTTGGAGTGATGGAGAGGAGGCCAAGCCATTGACGGGGTCACCGTTTCTACGGGCTGCGTTGACGGGGCCAGTTTTAAAACCTAAGGGTGCTTGATCATGGTGGGTCTATTCCTAGCCAGCAAAATCTTGTATAGCAAATTAAGAAATGCATAAAGCAAGGCTGACTACAGCGCTATTGGATTACATTAGTCCCTTTTTCCAAAAAAGGATAAAATCAACCTCCCAGCTGTGGAGTCAGCCTTGCCTCTTCATTTATCAACTGATTTATTTGTCTATCCACACGGACTACAACTACTAGGCAGTTGCTATTAGATCTAAGCTAGATCTAGGTTTTGGATGTCATGGAACATGGAACAACGTGTTGCCGAGCCTCTTGGTTAACAGATTTTCTGTCAAATTTTTTGCAGGACTGTGTTTTCACCAAAAACTTTTCTGATACTGCCCTTCATGTTTACTGGACGGGTGCATTGAGAATTTACAACTGCAATGGCTGCTGCAAACGTTGGTACTTCACTTTCAATGGCGCTGAATGTTCTGCTCCTCTGCCCATTGACGGAGTTGTCTACATGCAGACAGGCGGTAATAAAAATCTTCATCGTGTCCGCCATATTGAGGGGCACTGTAATAACATTCATAAAGGAAAAGTGCGCGTGGGATTCTGGATAGGAAATTGCCCCGGATATGGAAACGCTGATGGGTACACTGGATGGCAGTCAGTGTCCCGCGTATTTGTTGAAGAAGTTCCTAAAGCTCAAGCTTAAAAGTGACTTTAGATTAAAGTGACTCAAGAGATTTATGAGTTATAATGAGTTCTTATACTACGGAAAGTAAACATAGATAAGGGGCTTTTAAGCTTAAAAGTAAAAGTCCAAAGTGAAGGCGACAAAGTCCAAAAAAAAAAAGAATAAAGCTTTGAAAGCGAGTGAGTAATTCGACCCCTACGTAGGTGGGTAGTGTGTTGATGACTTTTATAATAATTTTAGACAGTAGTGCCCCAGATTGTTTAAAACTATAACTCACAAGTCCGGGATTTCAGCACGATCTATTAAAATATGATTGAGGAATTTATTAAAGTGTATGACTAAACAGAAGCGTTTGCTGTTTGAGGCTATTTAATTATTTCTGTTCTTAAGGTTTGATATATAATACAGAGCTTTTGTAGATGACCTGAAACTAATCAAACCCCAGTAATTCTCTCCGGTAGACTGAAAACAGGGAATTAACTAGCCTCACTGTCAAGTAAGTAGCTGCCCGGCGTTTTGCCCTAGTCTAACTTCCGCCGTTATGAAAGATTTATTTTCCCTCAAGTACCGAGAACAGGTGGACAAGATTCAACCACAGTTGAAACGAACGGAATAAAATCCATTCTCAGCTTTGGAAGTTTTGGTAAGTACAGTAAGCTGCCTTATACACAGAACAGTTCCCTAGTTCCCTGACGGATCAGAGGGGCTGGACCTTTTTCGAAAAATTCCTCGTTGTGTGCTTCTTTGATAATATTATTTCTTTAGCTCGTTAATTTTTCTAATTAAAAGTAAACTACAAGGGTAATTCAGCTTCAGCTTTTAGTCTTGCCAGGGTCCCCAACAGCCGGTCTTTTCAGCAGCCTTCCGCTCCTGAGAATCCGACGGCTTGTTGATTGGTGGGACTAAAAATGCATTCTATCTTTCGGTTTGTTAACTACATCCGGGTACTTTTTACTGAGGTCATTGCGTTCGTATGGATCAGCGGTTAAATTGTAAAGAGCTACTTCAATCCTTTCTGGATTTTGATCCAGTTCCTGAATGAAATAATAATAATAATGGAAACTTTATTTGTGTTTTTGAATGTACAATTGTAAATCTAGCTACGTATAGGCAATTCACAAATGCCGCTTGAGATTGGATGATTAAAAAAGAACAAAAACAAAAACAAAACAAAACAAAACAAAAGCAAAAAAAAAAACAAAACAAACAAAGAAAAGAAAAGAAATCAAAATTGCATTAAGTCTGGGCTATCCCAATTCCTATTTCTACAACAAAAGATGTAATATGTTGCTCTAATGGCTATATTTATCATTTTCTTGATTATATAAATTTGATGCTTTTTGTCAATGCCAATGTCATTCATCATGTCTGAGAACGTGGAGCATTCATCGGAGAAAACGCAGAGGGAGCTCATGGAGAGATTTACAAATCTCACACATCTGTAATTTCTACTCATTTCGTTGATCAAGTTCTGGTTTTTTTTTCTCTTTTACGCACTGCATTGTTGTTAAGGTTAGACTCGAAACCAACTGTTAATTCTAGAACATATAGGCACTTGGATTGGATTAGGAAAAGAAGATCTGGACGATAATTTTCACCAGTTATTATTGAGGGATTCAGAAAACCATTAACATCTGCATAGAGTGAAGACTGAACATTAATTACAAGTTGAAGTGACTTGGCAATGAAGTTAAGGATTGAGTAGTGTCTCCAGGTAAAGCGATCAAGGTACTGTTGACAACCAGCGACAACATGAAGGAGTAATTCAGGATTAAGGCAAAAGGAGCAATCAGGACTTTGTGATAATCCCCATCTTGCCATATTCTTACGTGTAGGGAGGGAGTTGTTGATGTAGCGGATGGTAAAATTGTAAATGTTCTTGGGTAGATGAGAATAATAATAAAAATGATAATAATAATAATAATGATAGTGATAATAATAATAATAATGATAATGATAATGATAATGATAATGATAATGATAATGATAATGATAATAATAATAATAATGATAGTGATAATGATAATGATAATGATAATGATAATAATAATGATAATGATAATGATAATAATAATAATGATAATGATAATAATAATGATAATGATAATGATAATGATAATAATAATAATAATGATAGTGATAATGATAATGATAATGATAATGATAATAATAATGATAATGAAAATAATAATAATAATGATAATGATAATAATAATGATAATGATAATGATAATGATAATGATAATGATAATAATAATGATAGTGATAATGATAATGATAATGATAATGATAATGATAATGATAATGATAATGATAATGATAATGATAATGATAATGATAATAATAATAATAATAAAGAAGTGAACAGAACGGTATTTCAAGGACTCCAGTGTCACTTAATTATCCTGAGGAAATAAACCTTGTCCTTTTGGTTCTTAGCACAACGAATCACTCCATGAGATAATTTGCCATTGGCACAACAAAACTATGTATTGTTTTCTGGAGACCGATTATTGTCGTTACATAATTTTTAAAAGCACCCAGCTCGTTTTAATATTGCGTCCTTTTTATCTTGTTCACTGTTTTTCTCCTCAAGGAAACTTAAAGAACAATTTCGTTTTAACAAAGTTTAAAAAGAGAGATGATTTTATAGAGCAGACAGATTTCTTTGTTGTTTTAGTTGTTAGTGTTCCTTTTCTTACCGCGCACAAAGTTGAATGTCTTGAATAGTATTACTATCAATTTTTTATTTTTGAAGTAACTGAGCCCTTGTTCAGACGTCATACTTCACATAAGTCGGATCAATTCCCAAAAAGGGCCTGCCTACATAAAGGTGGGGGACTCCAGGCAAAGGTGAGGTAACCTGTATGTCCATATAATCTCTCATTTTAATTTGGACACGTTTACATGATAGGTGGGGTGACCATATAAGAGATTATATGGACATGCGGGTTATCCCACCTAAGCGGGGTACCACACCTACCTGCAATCCTAGTCAAATTCAGTTGGGACACCCCGTGCTATACCCGTATTCCGACAAAACGTTATGCTCCTTGCCCCCCTCTATTAATTTTTTTTGCTTCTGACATGTAACAACAACAACAACAACAACACCAACAAAAAAAGCTTTATTTGCATGACCATAAAGGTATTGAAGTATTGCAAAAGCTACTAGTCTAAATTTAGTTACTAATTCAACTAATTATTCTAAATTTAGTTACTCATTCATTCATTGGTATGAATTTATTTCTTGATTCAAGGCATTGCGAGATAAATAAAACTAATTAATTCACAGTTAATTAAATAATCAGAAGAATTCATGAAATGAAATATTAAAGTATTGTGTGAAAGCGATTTGAGGTCAGGTATTTTAGTTTCTCTTTCGGAGAAAAATACGTCTCTGATCTGAGAATAGGCCTTACAATCTAGTTAGAAATGATTTTCACCTTCAATTTCGTAACTGTTACAAAAGGAATATATCCTTCCATTGCGAGGGATTTTTTTGCATCTACCTGTTTCAATTCTAAGTTGATGACTAGTTATTCTGAGTAATGCTTTTCTTGAGGGGTTTTTTCTTGTTAAAACTAGGTACGCCGAGGGGCTATAGTCCTTTTTGATTGACAAAAAACTGAAACTGAGTTTTGGTGATTATTGAGGGTTCTGGTTCCAGTAAGAAACGTATTTATTTTTCATTATGCCGACATACCATTTAAGTTTAGAGTCATTCATGAATTTCAAGAAAAGTCACAGTTTAGATCGTAGTAGTCAACCATCTTCATGAGATTAGAGTGAAAGCTATTTTATCCTCTATAATGAAGGTCGATTGAAATTTGTAAGGCCTGTTTAACTATAGAAACTTCATCTTTACCTATCAGATAGCTTAAGTAATTTAGAATCTGTTTATTTATATCACTGATCTTGGGGAATTTAACGAGTTCAGCTCTACATGCAATGTTCGATGCCTTGTTGTGTACTTGTAAATCAGTCGAGTTGCAAATGGGTTTTCTCAATTGCAAAGCTGTCCCAGGACTTAAAATCTGATTTAACAAAAGCACCCCAAACTTCATTGTTGTAGGTTAAAATTGGTGAAATCATTGAGTCAAAAATTTTACATGCAAGTGAGGGCTTAAGATCATTCAGATCTTTGTGCCGTCTTAAGCTGCAGAACGCATCAGTGACGTATGATAAGATATTAATAAGTACTTCGCCTCGCGGCGATGGTTTTCCAGAGGAGATTGTTTCCCATATGTCATATTGGCTTTGGATATTCTCAATCAACACTGCCTCCTAACAGCAAAAAAGGTCTTAGCTTATAGATGATTGCTTCCAAAAAAAAAGACGAAAATGAGCAAAAGATTACCTTTACATTAAATCTATAGTGCACCAAACCTCAAAAACCCAATGAGATCACGCATATATCTTTCAAATAAATATCTGGGGGAAATCGTGTTCAGATGATTAATTACCCCTTAACGGGTTATTGGCCACTATTTTCTCCGGAATCGTTTGCTATACATGGAGGAACGAGAAACGAGGGCTGCACCCCGAGAACAGAAAAGAGCCTCTCCCGTCGAGCGCCTTGAGGCATGCGCGTGGTCATTTTCGTGTCTCGAGCGTTTCGCTCGACAAATTTAGAAAAAAGAGAGACTGCTGCTACCGCTGCTGCGTAGTTTCCCTCCATTTCTCCCGCTTTCTGCCCTTTAAGATCTCTTATCCCAGGCTGTTTTCTCGGCTATTTGGAGCAACCTTTGATGCGGGGCAACTTGATTAAAGTTTTAGCAACTCATGGGAATAACAAAGTCTTCTAATACTGTGTAAACGTCGTCGTGTGGAGTCAACCCTGTCTCCCCCTTCCCTCCCCCCTCAGATGAATTATCCTTGGTAAGGAGCCCATGCCGCGAGTGGGGTCTGAGGTCAATGATTTCCAAATAAGACCACGCTTTCAAAAATTCCAACTCCGACTTTTCTACCTCGAATGAAACGACTCTATCAGAACAGGAGAACGCACGTGTACAAGG